ATTGATTTTGTATCTTCTTAAAACCATATGCAGCAATGCAGTCAATACATATTATGCCTATCAGTTCAAGGATCCAATGGCAAATTTCTCCTCTACTTCTAAAACCAAGATGAAGAATCAGCCAGAAGAAGAATTTGTTTTTAGATGGGAGTCTCACTATGTTATCCCAGCTAGAACTCCTGGGATCAAGTGATCTTCAGCCTCTTGAGTAGCTGGGACTATAGGTATGTACACTGTGCTCAGTTTCATACAAACAAAAAATTGATGCTCTCTGGAATTACTGAACTTAGCATCAACCAGCAAATTGAGAGGCTGGCACATGGATTATTCACAGTAGCACCAGTTCCTGTTTCAGCCTCAAGAACTATCCCAGGTGCCACATGTCCTCTTAGATGGCCAGAAACAGATCAAAAAGTAAAATCCTAAAGTTAGGAAACATCCAACGTTTCGGCTGGATCACTGTCTCAAACATGGAGATCTTCACCTTATTTGCTAAGAGGAAGTGCTGAAGAAGGGCTTGGCAGTATGAATTCAGGTAACCTGAGAATCATTAGTGACAAACGGTCTATGATTTTGAGCCACTGTGACACAGTAGTTCTCCAACTTCAGTGACCATCAGAATTCCCTACTAAAACACATGGTATTAGTGCTTATTCCAGAGTCTCTGACTCAGTCGATTTGTTACAGGATCTGCGATTTCACATGTCTACATTCCTAGGTGATGTTCGTATGTTTGGACTAAGGAATGCACTCTGAGAACTTCTGTTTTAGATCAGTACTTCTAGAGTTGGGAGTATGCTGTCAAATCATTTGGAGAATGTGTTAAAAACTATATTTAAGTTTTTCACTTGGCAAATGCAAGTGTACTTCTGTAAGTTCCCAGGAGACTGCGGGGAGCTCCAGTGTTGACCACCCATGATTTACACACTGCTTCAGAGATAACAAAGGCAGATTTCATCTGCAGTGAAAGGTGGTGGATTCTAACAAGAGTGCTCCTAATTTGGGAGTAACGTTTTCGTTGTTCTTTCTAAGCGGAAAGACAAGTGAAAGTGCTAGATTCATCTGTTAGAATCCAAGTCATTTTCATCATCCTTAAGACCTGTAAAGGAGTTCTGAGATGGCTGCACCGCAGGTTACTTTCCTATAGATTACGCTAGAGGCCAAGCAAACTGCCTTCTCTTTCTATCGCTGCCTTGGAGGGAGGCAGCAGACAAGCTGGAGAGCACAGACTTTTGCTGGCTTGGTAGGCTATTCATCTGCCGGAAGGACCTGACTGGAAAAAGAAAGCTACTCCATAGGGCTGTCGACCTTCCTCCTGGGATCTCAGCAGATCCTAAGGAACAGCTGCTTTTCCTCCCAAGTGGCTTCCCATATGTCATTGCAGCACCAGGGCCACACCCTCACTCTGAACATCAGGCCTCTGGGAGGGATTGTGAAATGCCATGGGGCATGGTTCGACCAGAATGCAGAGGACATCAGCATCCATCTCCTGCTCAACAAAGCTTGACAGTACAGTCTTCTTGTGAGACTGGGAAGAGGTGAGACTGTGAACAGAGTTCAACTGGCTACAGCCCAGGCCATTCAGAATTAGAATGAGAGGAAATCCACAGGGTGAATAAAACCTGAAGGTAGGGTTGGAATCACAACCACTTCTGGTTGTGAAACAGGAGCTTCTGCCATGTCATTGAAATGCTCAATGGTACTGATGTTTTTGGAGAGTAGTTACAGGCTGTCACACAAGCTTTCCCAGTAAGTACCATTGAGGTTTCCATAGCATGAGATGCTATGGTCAAGATCCTAACAGAAGGACCATAAACTTGACTTATATCCAGTGAGTTTTGAGTTCATTTGATTAATAATAAATGATATACATGGTATAGGTCAAGAATTTGGTTTTTCAGAAAGTTCTAGACATTTGTAGTATAGGCCATTTCCACTCAGAAGCAAGTAGCTAGAATTCTCATATGAAGCCACAAAAGATACTAAAAGATACAAAAGAGATTCAAGACATCTGTTTGTTTAGGAAGAAGTCCTAGAAATCTACTAGTGAAAGTCCAGTCTAGCAAACAGCAAAAGGGTAGAAAAAGCCACCTCCATGATGCATTAGGACCTTGTTGCTCACAATGTGGTTCAAAAACAACATCACTATTGTCTCGAGTTTTGATACCCTTTGTCTTTTATATAAGTTTATCTAATTTGAGGAAGGGAAGGAACCACAACATCACTGTTGTCTCTAATTTTGATTTCTATACACTTTGTCTTATATATAAGTTTATCTAATTTTAGGAAATGAAGGAATCACAGTAGGGTCAAGGAGTGAACCAATTCAGCCGGGATACTCACTAGACACTATGTTGGAAATGAACTTTACAACTTGTGGTGGAGGGGAAAGCAGGCAAAAATAAAGGAGGGGGTAACACTTTTCAAAAGAAATGTACTCATTACCTGACTTATGTAACTGTAACCTCTCTGAACATCCCTTTTAAGATATAATTTGAATTTTTTAAATCACAATGCTCGATAGGAAATGGATTCATTACCTTACTCATGTAACTGCCACCCCTCTGTGCAGTAACTTCACAATAAAAAATATCTATTAAAAATCACTGATATCATCTAGGAAGCAAGAAGAAAATGTACAGTATTAAGTCTTTCCGACAGAACCAGAATGGGCATTTTAGTGAGATCTGCAAGTACTCCAAAGTTTGGGAAGCAGAGAAATAGTATGATGGAAGGGGAATTAGGGGAAGGGAAAGTGGGAGAAAAATGAGGGAGGAGGTAACAAGTTCGACAAGAAATGTACTCACTACCTTACATATGCAACTGTAACCCCTCTGTGCATCACCTTGACAATCAAATTAATTTAAAAAAAGAGATTCTGCTAACCTGAGCTGCCTACTACAGTAGCCAAGATATAGAACATCCTCACAAAGGCAGTGTAGATGATGCTCAGCAATTTAGTTCTAAAGCATATTTTCCATAGGATCAATTACAGACACAGTTAATGAGTAGAATGCATTAGAATACCTCATGTCTACAATCGGCTTGCCATGGTGAGTGTAGACTAAACACATATATACCAGTTGTGAAACATCTGGTATATAAAATAGCATAGCATAATTTAAGATAATTTTTAAACAAATGCCACAGTGATTAATTGAGAGTATCCATCTGATCCTTTGTTTAGGGCTATATTTTAGGACCAATTTTACAGTACAGAGTTTTAGTTAAATTCTTGAAATGCCTTCTTTTTGCCTATTGAAATTGTTTTATAAAATGTGTTGACTTCACATTAGTATATGCTTTGGCTACATTCAATTTTTGGCAAATGTCCTCAGTTTTTCTTTGGAACAACAAATGAAACTTAGATAAAGTTGTTACATTGCAGATTGAGTTCATGGTCGACTAACAAGGGAATTAAAGAGTCCAATTAAGCATAGGCTAAGCTTGTGTCCTCCAAACTCTGTTGACATTCCTGAATTCATGCAATATGCTCATCAGACATTTGTAGTACAGGTATAATGTCAGTGGTTCTTGAACTGTGGTCCTCAGACCAACATCAGTATCATCTGGGAAATATTAGAAATACACACTTAGGTCTGACTCCTACAAAAAGAGAAGCTCTGATGTGAGACCCAGAAACTTTTGTTTTACCAAGAGTTACAACAGATTCCAACACAGAATAAACAGTGTGAGAAGCACACATTTGAGCTACACTCAACAGAAAATTTCAGGCTTTGGAATTTCCTACTAACTGGAGATTTGGATATGGCAATAACTTCATACTATTAATCATAGTGATTTTACATCAAATTATAACCCCCAAATTTATTAGGAAATGAATGGGTGATGAAATTGAACAATTACAATCAGAGATGTTATATATTAGATTTCACAAAACAACACATTAAAGTTTTGACATAATAGGAGAAACAACAGCAGCAGATCCCAGGAATCTGCATTACAATGTGACTTACCAATATGGCCTTGGACTGGAGTAAAATCAACATAACTGGTTCACCCAATTATTAAAGACTTGTAAATTATAATCAAATCAATTATGCGAGGATGTCTAAAACAGAAAGCACTTTTCCAACAGTGAAATTATTATTTGTATGTCGTCATCTACTTTAGAAAAATCATGAAAGCCTAAGTCTCTCTTTTAGAATAAAAATGTACTTCATAACAAACAGAATCACAAAAGCACAAGTCAAAGCATGAAAGTCAAAATAAATGCCCCTGGGCTTACTTTCTAAAAATCACCATTTAAGAAATGTTTAGAAGCTCTTATTCTTTTTGAGTGTACTTATTACAGAAGACAATAACATCATACAGAAAATAACCTAATTAATTAAAATAACCATTTTTCAGTCACTTTTTTTTGGCGGGGGGGGCGGGGAAGACAAAAATGTCTGCCTATGAAAACCTAAAGTATTAAAGAACAGCTACTTCAGCCAGTGAGCCAGTGGCTCATTCCTATAATCCTAGTGAATGGAGAGGCTAAGATCTGAGGATCATAGTTCAAAGCCAGCCCAGGCAGGAAAGTCCATGAACCTCTGATCTCCAATAAAGTATTCAGAAAAAGCTGGAAGTGGCACTGTGGCACTAGCCTTGAGCACAAAGAGGCTTGGGGATAGTGCCCAGGATCTGAGTTCAAGCCTCAGGGCCAGCAACAAAACAAAATAAACAAAACAAAAAAACAGTTACCAAATTCTTATAAAAATGAAGTTTTATGAACTATTTTTCAAAATGTGATAGCTAGTTGTGATCTTCCATATGATTTCTTGTTTATTTTATATATATCTATTAAGAGTTAGAATTACATTTAGGTTGATTATATTCAACATCCATGACTTTGTGTCAGGAAAGACTTAATAACTTCAATTTAAGATGAATACTGAGCATTCATCATTATTGAAACATTCCTTGTCAACAGAATCATGCATTAAAGCCAAATTCTATGTCAAGGACTCATCTTCTGATTATTTCACTTGACTTACCCCCAGGAAAGCATCTACTATAAACACTGCCAATGGGTCCAGAACTGTCCATAGTCCCATAGTAATGATGAGCTTTGACAAGGCGTCTGGACAAAAGGCAAACAGTAGCTGACAGCCCCATCTGATCAGAACCAACAGAAATATGATTGTGTTCAGCATGAAAGGCCCCAATGCAACCACAGCCAGCTCTTCTCCCACATGAAGTGAAGATGTTGGGTAGCAAAGTTCAACTGTGTAGAGCAAAAAGTGAAATCTGGAGAAAAACAAAGCAAATTATTGACATACAAACAAGAACTGAACAAAAATGTCAGGTGTACGAACCAATTTAAATGACTGTGTTTTGTTATTTTAATAAAAAATAGCGTAAACATGATATTTAATAGTACACCAAAATTAAATGTTAGAACCTTCATCTTTTCCTAAACCCTTACTACTACCCGAAATTATAATAATCAAGGAAAAGGCAAATTCTACCCCATTTGTTGTTCTTGTACAGGAACCAAGGAATGATATTAGCATAGAAGGTGTGCCAGCTTTAGCCACTAAGCAGAAGAGTTTATATGAGCACTTTGATATAATTAATAATATTTGTCAGTAGAAAAATTTACATGCAAAATATACTAGTGAACTCTATATGGAGTCAATATCTAATAGAAATGAGAATAGATATAAATCCAATGATTCTTTTACTTTTTTTATTGTGTGCAGTACTGGGATTTGAACTCAGAGTCTATTGCTTTTGCTTGGCTTTTTCACTCATAGCTGGTACTCTATCACTTACGCTACATCTTGACTTCTGGGTTTTGCTGGTTAATTGGAAATAGGAATGATGGAAAGGATGACACTGGCCAAGATGTATTGTACTGGTAACATGAATTCCAGAATTGAAATTCCTTGTACTTAATAATAATAAATAAATATTTTTAAAGAAAAGAATAGTCTTTTCAGTTTATCTATCTGGACTAGATTTGAACCTTGGTCCTCACCTATTAGCCTCTTGAGTAGCTATAATTAGAGGCATGAGCCACCAACACCTGGCTAAATCTAATTATTCTTCAGAATTTTAGTGCAGGTGATTAATTTTGCCGATGGTTTCCCTGGCTGGACTCCTGCCATCACTAACAACCCAAATTTTATATTAATGAGCTGATCTGATACAGCTAAAGCCTCATGGTTTAAATCCACCCCAAGCCCAGTAACTCCAGCAACCTTGACCAGGCTTTGATAGTGTCTTCCTGAGCAAATAAGACTTAAATTTACTTTGTATTTTCTCTCCCCTGAATTCAAGCCTGTTAGAGCTGTTTCAAAACCAATCCTGTTTGCACATTTTTCTCACCAGTGCTCTGCTGAAAATGTTATTCATTTTGTATGTATATTCCTTCACTGTTTCTTCTAAGGAATTTTATGCTTATTTTAACATTGTTGTGAACATCAAATACAATAATGTATGTACGTTTCTTAGCACACTGCCTGACACAGAATGAAGGCAAAATAAATGCTCATTGTTGGTGTTGTTGCTTTTTCTCACAGTTAAGATATTGCATGATTCAAGTCAGGACACCAGACAATAGCCAGAAAAAATATTGTAGCTTAAGAAACTGGGTAAACTTGACTGTTAGGCTACTTTTGATGAAGTATCTAAATTGACAAAGGGATGGGAGGGAGAAAATGGAGAGAACAAAGGAAGGGGTGACTGACATTGACCAAGAAGCATTGCACTTACAACCTGACTTAAAGAATTGTAACCCCTATGTACAACTACTTAATAACAATAATTTAAAAAAGATTTATTTTCAGTTTTATTTAAGGAATAACTAGTAAAAAATGGACTTCCTTTTTAGTAAAGAATAAAGTAGTTAATGGAAAAGTACATGTAATATTTGTATTTTCTGCTTTGGAAATCTTACAAACAACTAAAAAAGAAACAAAAAATTAAGGGAGGTAAGGAATATTCATGCAATGATTTCTCCTTAAAAATGCAATCATTTTGGTAAACACAAGTTTTTATGTTCTATAACATATATAGTTATTTATGATTTAATAAGGTTACCCAAAGCCTTATGTGTATATATGCACATATATAAACATGTATTTATTTTCATAGTCTTAGGTATTTTATAATACTAATTGGAAATATGTACATTATTTAATTGATATCCAAACCATCTTCAATTGAGAAAATGAATTTTACTTGTACTGTTACCTATCTGTCTGTCTATGATGTGTACAGAATCATGTTTATAGAGTGATAACCTTTAAAATGTCATCTTTCCCACAGGATAATGGCCCAGAAAGCTGCCTAGGTTTGAGTTTGGTAATTGTGTGAATTCAATCATTTTGTAGAAAAAGCAATTTTTGCTTCTCTGAGTACGGGTAATAAATCAGACTTACGTTACTTCTAAAATACCCTCAGCCTAAGTCACTCAGATAAAATCAAAATGGAATAAACCATTGTTGCTTAAATTCCTTTCTGGATCCTACTCAAATAGTAGAACATATTTGAATCTGCTAAATTTTAAATAAATATGAATGCCCCAGTTATGTTTTGTATACACCGAACCAACCACTAGATGAGACCATAAGTGTGATAGAAGTCCTAGCTCCCAGATAAAGACATGTTTGTCATTTCAAATCATACCTGTAATACAGGTCTCTCGTAAAAGGATGGGAGAGAGATTTTGTACTTTTATTTGCCTTATCAGGATGAAAATACATTCCATTGACTTTCAGGGGAAAGCACTCACTTTGTAACTGGAGTGGAAATGGCCTGGAGGAAAAGCCACTGGCCAAGGTAATGCAGGTAGAGCCTGAGGAGCCAGACAGAAGCCATCAACAGAATAATGTACCAGAAGCTCTGGCTTTGCCATTGGGCTACCTCAAGCTCCGCACACAATGTCACCAGTGCAAAATGAAGACCCTTGAAAAGTTCCCTGGGTCCAGCACTATCTGCAACTGAAGCATGCCCACAAAGAAAGGAAAAACACTATCAATTCTGGGCTTCTAGCTTCACCCCAAAGGAAATGCTCCAGCAACAACAATGAAGATAGAATGGAATTTCCAACAACGTTGGGTTCAAAAGATATGAACTTAAACCTTTAACACAGTTAATTTGAAAAACAAAACAAGAAATAAGAAGCAATGGCAAGAATATTGGGCAGTAGGAATCCTTGTGTATTATTAATGGGAATATGAAAAGCTACCACTATGGAAAACTATGGCATCTACCCTCAAATTACATATAACACAGCCAAGTACATATGGTCCATAGAATGCACTTCTAAATATATATCAAAAGGAATTGAAACCAGAGCATTACAAGTGGTATCTGCACACAGTGCCAGTGGCTCAAACCTGTAGTTGTAGCTACTCAGGAGACTGAGATCTGAGGATCACGGTTCAAAGCCAGCCAGGGCAGGAATGTCTGTGAGACTCATCCCAATTAACCACCAGAAAACCAGAAGTGGTGCTGTGGCTCAAGGGGTAGAATACTTACTTGCCTTGAGCTGAAGAGCTGAGGGACAGAGTGCCCAGGCCCCAAGTTAAAGACCCATGACCACCACCAACAACAAAAAAAAGTGGTATCTGTACATTTTGCATTAATCACAATGACCAGGATTGTGAAGAAAATAAAATTGCTCATTGTTTAATAAAAGAAGATACACAGTATCCATACAATAGAATATTATTCAGCTCTACAAAAAAGAAAGAAATTCTGCCAAAAACTAAAGGAATGTGCTTTGAGGATATTATGCTAAGAAATAACTGTCTCAAAAGACAAATATTACATGATTCAGCTTATATGAAATATCTATAATAGTTAAAAATCAGAGGAGTGGGAAATGGTTGGGTGGTTTCTTAGGTCTAAAAGAGAAAACAAGGAAGCTACTGTTTAATGAGTTTTAGGTTTGCAGGATGAAAAAGTTCTGGAAAATGGTTACATAGCAATATGGATACCCTTACCACTAAACTATACATTCAAATTTGGTTAAGGTAGTAAACTGTTATATCTTATGGAATTAAGTTTTAAAAAGAAACATGGATAAATGCCCAAAAATGGAATGGCTGGGTCATGGGAGAGCTCTATGTATAGTCTTTTTTTTTCTTTTTTTTTGTCAGTTGTGGGGCTTGAACTCTGGGCTTGGGCGCTGTACCTATGCTCTCCAGCTCAAGGCAACTGCTCTACCACTTGAGCCACAGTGCCACTTCTGGTTTTCTAGTGGTTTATTGGAGATAAGAGTCTCACAGATTTTCCTGCCTGGGCTGGCTTTGAACCGCTATTCTCAGATCTCAGCCTCCTGAGAAGCTAGGATTACAGGCGTGAGCCACAGGAGCCTGGATATGTGTAGTCTTTTGAGGAACCTCCTTACTGCTTTCAAAGTGGTTGGAAGTTTACACTCCCACCAACAATGCAGTAGGGTTCCCTTTTGGCTACAACCCCTCCAGCAGCTGTTGTTATTAGAGTTCTTGATTTTAGCCATTCTAACTGGGATGAGATAGAATCTCAGTGTTGTTTTGATTTGCGTTTCTTTTATGGCCAGAGAAGTTGAGCATTTTTTCATGTGTCTATTGGCCATTCTGATAGGGACACAAGAGGTTTTATCTTTCTTGCTGTTGTTTTTAATGTACTTATAATGTATTATGTGATTGTTTTGTTTCTTTTTCACGTTCTTCCCTGATGGTATAACTCCTATTTTCACTGTATTTGATGTCGGTGCTCTGCCATCTTTTACATACATTTTTCTAATTAGGGGAGGGGAAGGGCAACAACAAAATGCAGAAATAAGGATACAGGCTGACCCATTGTAACACTGAGGTGTAGAAGACACTATGTTGAAAATGAATTTTACAACTTCAGGGTGGGGGAAGGGAGAATTTGGGGAGGTGGGGAGGGATGGGATGGCTGGGGAAAAACAAAGGAGAGGGTAACAATGCTCAACGCAAATGTATTCATTACTCATGTAACTGTAACCCCTCTGTACAGTATCTTTACAATAAAAAATATACTAAAAAACATGGAAACACGTCCCTTTTTAACTAATATTTTATTTTATTATAAAAGTGATGTACCGAAGGGTTGCAGTTACATAACAATGAGTTTAGGTTTTAGAAAAAATAAAAATCTAGAAGATATTCTTTCTGGTCTCATCTGCCTACACGTATCATTCTTTACCCAGATGAGATTTATTTGCTTACAACATGTTAGAAATCATTTGTTTCCTATTCAGAATTAAAGTGAGTTATAAATATGCAATTAAGATGCATGAATGAGAATTCTAATATCTAAATTGTAGTTTTGTGAGAAAGCAGAGGCTACCTGAAAATAAGTGTGCAATCAGGAATCATTCTCCTTAAACAGGCAGAGGTAACAAAATGTAGATTTTCCATGAAATAGAGTCTTAAAGCTCCAGGACCTGGCTGACATATAATTCCTGTCTTAACTCTTTCCTTATAGAAAAAGAAGATAGTCACTGTATCCACATCCCAGGTCAGCATGATGAATAGGTCACAGATGGAAAACATTTTAAACAGTGTTATAATGGCTATAATGATGATATACTCACAAAACAGTAAATAATCTGTTACATCTGCCTTTCTTTTTTTCTAATACTTTTCAGTGCTGCTTTACAATAGGCTGGCTTCCAGCACATCCAAGAAATGTAGAAAATCTGTCGAAATGATATGTTTGCTTTATATTTTATATATGTATGTGTGTGTGTGTGTGGCTTTGCAAATGCTCTTTATTCAATTGAAGCAGCACAAATAAAAAAATCATCCCTATATTTCGTGTTCTATTAAATGAAGAATCAATCTTCATAAAAATGGGGCTCCAAATTCCTGGATTCATTTTTCCTAGTTCTATTTTTGAAATATTTTTTCCTAGAACAATTCAGTCAATTCCTCACACGAAACCAGTTCTAATCATAAACATATTACTGAAAGAGAAATGAGTGACTGAGCAGTAGTTCAGCGACTTTGTGATGAACCACAGCAGTGCTTGGGAGCAAAAACAGAAATGGAATCCATGGGCATGCTCTGAAGCTTTTACGTAAGAAAGCTCATCACCCTCTGAAGACTGTCAGTGCTGATGACAGTTGTGCCAAAGGAAGAGATGGTAACTTGTGGAAACATGAGTCTGACAATAGAATGTCAACAAGCAGAAGAAATCCCACAACCATGACTGCAGCCTCTTGGTCCTCTTAGACCTCTTAAAGAAACACCCAGTATGAAACTGACAGTCTCTTTTAGTTGTTCTTTGTATTTTCCCATGAAGCATCACTTAACCCCAAACCAGTCTTTGTACAAGCATGTGCTTTTCAATTACACCAATGAGGAGCAAGGAAACAGGAAGCAGATTCCCTAGGGGTTTTGGTTAGCTAACGTGATACAGAGGCACTAGGTCTCTTATGGAAGGATCCCAGAATGCCTCACTGCATTACCATCACGTGAAATGAAACCCAGAACTTTCTACACTGCTGAAGCAAAATGTCCTGCACATGATCTGTTCTTCAGTTCATTCTTATGTCATTGCTTTTGCTGCTTCAAAGGCAAGAGGTAATCAAATGCAGCTTTGCTATTGTGTTGTTTGCAAAAACCTGGAAATTCTCAAATGATGCAAAACTGAAAAGACAGTAGCTTCTTTGACCTTTGCAAATTTCCTCTCTTGTTCTCATACCAGTCAACACAAATGACTCAGCAGTTGAAGAACTTACATAGAGAAACCTCTGTAAAGTCATACCATTAGCTTTGCCAATGAAATGTCCCTACCCACACGCAGAAACACATATTTGTTCGTCAGACCATTGAGTTAGGGACAGATAACACTAAATATTCACTAGCTATCATTTCTCTCTAATGCAAAATGCTCCTTTATCTTCTTCCTTGCCAATACAATTCAATAATTGGCTTTCATTTGATTAGTAGTAGAAACTATGCCATTTGGATTCAGAAATTCAGAGGAAAAAAAATCTTGAATCTATTCTTCTTGTGAAGTTTCAACAGTATTATACTGCTCAGTTAGAAATTAAAAGACTTAGCTGATATTAGATCATGACAAGAGATTAAAGTTCATTAATGTAACGAAGCTAGTCAGATATAGTTTTAAAAACAGTTCGTAGATGGTAACAAAGATGTCAGTTCTTTTCTTATGATCCTTTCAAATTTGTTCCTAAAATCTCATTGTGGGCTTATATAGTATTACATTTGCAACTGTCTCTCCATATATTGTTCTTAAACCATCGTTCATTCAAAAGAATTCTGCTTCCATCTTTCAAAATGGTCTTGAAAGAGACAATATTTTTACTGTTGTAAGCACACAAGGCACATTATATAATGCAGTGCCATTGTAGAATATGTCCATCCACACTTCCACCACGCTTTCCTTCCTGTGTCATCTTTCTTGGTTACATACAAAGACCATGAGCATCAAAAGGATAATAAATGGTCTCTGCCACTGGGCTGTGTAATATGTATAGTGGGAATTGATTTGTTGGTTATGAAGGAAACTATAGAGCACACAGATCACTGCAAAATCACATTGAGGCCAGCAGCGACTCCTGAGTTCATGCAGACAGCTCCTCTCTTGCTTGCGGGGTAAGTCGCCAGAGGCAGAGAAGAATTGAGAGGTCATCCACTATTCAGCTATTAAATGAAACCTATTTCTCTGAACTTCAGCCACATTTCCTATGACATACATATATCCCCTTTCAGGCCCAGTCCTTATAGAGACTTGAAATCAAACGAGATTTCTATGATCCATCAGCGTGATGATAATAGTATGAGAAAAAAAGACTAAAATTGCCTTCGTGGTGGGGAGAAGCATGAAATACATCCTTAAATACATCTTCTATGGTGAGCAGAAATCCTCAGGAATTTGTGTAGAATACTCATTACTGAATAACTAGAAACTTATTTTTAGTTTAAAATTATTACCAATAGATGGCAC